TGATAATTGGCATCTCTTCGTGGTTTTTCTTGTTAGTAGCTTGTAATAAAGATCTTCAACTTTATGTTGCAGATCGAGAATGAGTATGGCAATATTGAAAGCTCCTATGGCCCTAAAGGACATGACTATATGATATGGGCTGCCAAAATGGCCAGTGGACTTGGTGCTGGTGTTCCATGGGTTATGTGCAAGCAAGTTGATGCACCAGAAAACATAGTAAATTCATGATTTTCTGGACAATTATTATATTATAATGGAAGAAAAACATACAGATACATATCACCCTTTGTGAAATTGCACCATGTTTGTGGTGGCCACCAGATAGTTCCTAGGTGTTGGAAGATGAATTGTATTTATATATTCATGAATTTGTACTTATATATTCTTGACCTAATGTTGGCCATCCTTCTCATACATTGTGCAATTTATTTTCTCTATCAGATAGATACCTGCAATGGATACTATTGTGATGGTTTCAGACCAAATTCCAATACGAAGCCAGTGATTTGGACAGAGAACTGGGATGGATGGTATGACTTTCTTTGATTTTTGTTTGAACCAAAATTAATATTCAGTTCTGATCTGTTCCACGTGTGGTGCAGGAGATTATTATATTGTCTAGCTGTATATAATTTTCAAAACTCCTGTTAGATAATTAAAAGTGACTATAAACACATGAAAAGAGGACTTGTGGTAACAGCAACAAGTTGATTGTAATGCTGTATGGCAGTACTACAAAAAGCAGCTATATTTTTTATTGGGAGTTTGTACTTATTTATTGTGTGCTAGCTATTATTCTCACCCACAACTGAAAGGTGTTTCGCCTTATAAAACCTATCTTTGTATATGATCCTTACGTCCTTGGATTTCTTAATATCAAGGTACACAAATTGGGGTGACAAAGTTCCCCATCGTCCCTGTGAAGATATCGCGTTTGCAGTTGCCAGATTTTTCCAGCGTGGTGGAAGCTTTATGAATTATTATATGGTATGTCTTTATGAATTATTATATGGTATGTCTTTTGCATAATAAGAATGGATTCTGTATAGTTTATGAGGGTCTATGTCCCCTCATATATGTGATCCATCCCCAAATTCCACAATTATATCATATGATTATGGGCCGGTTCACGCCTTTTGGTGCTCCCGTCTTTTCAAATCATGTTCTGCCAAACAACTCATGCTTTTTGGCAAGCATTTGCGATTATTTCATCACTTTAGTTTCAGTGGAAACTAAATTTCCAAATCACGGGGTTGCAGTACTTTGGTGGAACAAATTTTGGTCGAACTGCGGGAGGCCCAAATATTATTACTAGCTACGATTATGACGCTCCCATTGATGAATATGGTGGGTTTATCTTTCTTGGTGAAAAAAGTTCTCTGCTTTTCCTAGAAAATTCACCACCATTTATGGAGTATAAGACTGCCATATTTATTGCTTTTTGCTTAGCAGTTGCATCACCTTTTTAGGTCTTTTAAGACAGCCCAAATGGGGACATCTGAAAGATCTGCATGCTGTTATAAAGCTTTGTGAGCCTGCTCTCGTTGCTGTTCTTTCGCCTCAGTATATCAAACTAGGACCAAAGCAGGAGGTATGTGCCATATATAAACTTACCTGACTGTGAACTTAATTTTATATATTCACATAGGTTCTTTATTTGTTCAATTACAAATGATAGTACTTCATAATTGCTTTACTCAATTTTATTTCTTATCTTCCTTCTGGATTCCAAATAGTCTCAAAATGGTCCCATGCATTTGATAGATCATATTAAGTTGTTACAAACGAGATTGTGAGTGGCTTGTTTTATCCCTCTTCTGTCTCATACTTCATCTCCGTCTTAGAACTCTTGTACTTGTGTAAGACCTTTGTTATTGTAAGACCTTTGTCATTAGGGTATCGTTTAGTGGATAATTGCAATCCCATTGATTAACTTTGTTGATTTATTTTTCTTCTTTAGTTTTCACCTAGACTTGTATATATATTTATGTGGTCCGTACTCTTATATATGGAATATAGAGATCAGTGCCAGTTAGGGTTCAGGAGAAAAAATCAAGTTTTAGGCATTTCTTTGTTGCTCACGAGAATCCTTTTCTATTTTATATTATTACATTAAATATTTTTTTTTCTAATGTTGTTAGTATTCACATTTAATTTTAGATGCTATTAGTAATTACATTTAAATTTAATTTATTTTATTTTCTTTGAGGATATTTAAGGTTAATTTGGCACTTAAACTTAAATATATGATATCACTGTACATATTTTTTTTTTCTAAACTTTGATGACTTGTGTTGCTGAGGCCTCTCCATGGCGAATCGCCTCGACTCGCCATTCACCATTTGAAACTATGCTTACTGTGATTAGTCCACAAGATATTTGCGGAAAAAGCAAGTCAGCTACATATTTTGTATCAAAAGGATGTAAATGGGCCATTGATTCTGACGCTCCAGATCACATGATGGATAATTCTAACCTTTTCTCTGCCTTTCATCCCCATGCACCCTCGAGTCATGTCATTATTGCTAATGGATCTACCTCACTGGGTCTTGGTTACAGTTCTATCCACTTTACACCCTCTATCTCGCTACAATATGTACTAAGTTCACCTATTTTCTTTTAACCTTCTATCCGTGAGTAAACTTATGTCTAATTGCTTGCTTAGTTACACACTAGTTTTGGCCTTGATCATATGGCTTGATCGGTTGGGAGGATCGTGAAGTTATTTAAATAAATAAACCGGAGCTTGGTAGTTTTTCAGATTTTAGTAATCAAATCCATGACAAATTTTGATGAAGTTTCAAGCATGATTCTAATAAATATGCCTTAAGCGGATTGATTTGCTCAGTTCTGAAATATTCTCTGCTGTTCTTAAGTAGCATGAACTGCAAAATGATTGTCAATGGTTGAACCCACCATACCTTTGATTTTTTGACTTCCCTGGGTATCATAGATTGACCCTCATTTTCTTGAATGATATGCCATTCTAGACAAAAATGGTTATACATCAGCTAAAGTACATTTACCTTAAATTTTATGGAAAACCTTTTCGTTTTTAGTTAAATAGAGTAAAAGCAACCATTATTTTTCTATTCACAACCTATGTGGTTTCCAAATACTGTTTTCAGGCCCACGTTTACAGCGATAAAGGAAGAAAATGCTCAGCATTTCTTGCCAATATTGATGAGCTTAGTTATGCTGCAGTGAAATTCCGCAATTTTACATACATTTTACCTCCGTGGTCTGTGAGTATATTGCCCGATTGCAGAAACGTTGCCTTTAACACAGCTAAGGTATAATTGCATCTTTTTCTTCTGGAAGACAATGCATTAGGCTTCAATAAACATAAGACACTTCTGAGTGTTTGCTGCTCTAGTTTCTCTTATAAGCTCTAAGCTAGGCTTAAATGTAACTATGGTGTTTCAGACAAGTAAGAGTTTCAGATTTGCCATGTTTGATATATCGTTCATACAGTTCCCTCTCACTTGCATGATATCCTTTGCATTTATAAGAATTTCTAGTAAATGTGCTGTACATACGAGCAACACACAATTTTGTTGCAGGTGAGCATTATTTCTTGTCGAGTTCTTTGTATCACAATGATATCGGCCATTTGGAGGACTCAAACTATATGATGAACAACCTGATGAAATAAAATTGAGTGAAAGTTTTCTTGGCAGTGACTGGTGAAACTTGATTTGGGTCTGTAAGATCGATAGTTTAAACGGGGCTGACAATTTCAATAGCTGTTCATAAGGGATAGAAAATGTGAAACAAAAGCACTCTATTGAATGGCATATAGGCAGGAAAAAATGTCTCTAGGATGTATTTTAGGCTACTAATATTTAGGTGAAAGTGAAATGTGAAATACCTAGTCAATTGCATGCTAAGAGATCTCCATATGCAATGTGGAAAGTGTTAGAAATGTACAATCACTTGATACTTGTTCACATTTTAAAGTATTGATGTAACATACACCCAAAAGAATATTACTTTTTTTTACTGCCGTGTGCAAGCAGAGAAATAACCAATAAAATGAAGCTATTGTTTCATTAGACATGCCCCTTTCTGATATCTTCCCTTTTTTTATTGATAATCGAAATATTAGTGATTCCAAGCCATATTTCACGATAGTTTTCGCCTACTAACTATAACTGCTGCATCCACGCCATACTAAGCTTTTTAACTCTGATGTTTGGACAGATTGGGGTGCAGACTTCAATTAATAGTCATGGCTCTGATGCAGCTTCTTATGTAAATGATCCTCTAAATATGAAAGAATTGTATAAAGTTGCTTATATTTCAAAAAACTGGAGTGTCTTTATGGAGCCAATTGGTGTGTGGGGTAGCAGTAGCTTCACATATCAAGGCATTCTGGAGCATTTGAATGTGACAAAGGATGAGTCTGATTACCTGTGGTATACAACCAGGTATTCTTGTTCATTTTGAGCTAATAAAGAGCTGTGGTTAGTAGGATTATATATTCCTCGAATACTCAGCCCTTAGCCAAGTGAACTGAAAGGATCCGATTGATACTCTTCGCCTGAAATCATATTCTTCAACGAACTTGTAGACTGAGAAAAAAATGTGTTAGTCCAGCCATTGATAACATGTTGAGTGGAATTACCTCTATTTGTCTTGTTTTCATATGGGTAAAAAATATGCACATATACTACTCTAGGAGCAAGCCACGAAAAGAAAGCCTATTATTAGAGAGTAATCAATTGGATTGCAGAATTTCCATAATTAGTACCTTATACATTACACAGAATTCAATATTTGACCTGGAATGAATATGTGAATATATAATGTGATACAAAATGTGAATATGAGACGTTATAAGACCAATATCTAACATGACACACATGGCTCATATAGAACAAACCAGTGGATCATCTAGATTAATGCACCGATCACAAAAACTAAGAAAAATAATAATTTGAATAAATAATTAGTGTTTAACATTTATTTTTCGCAATTGGTGATCCGCAAGGTAGGACCAAATGGTAGGGATATGACCTGTCAAGTTGTATACTAATAAAAGATTGCTTAATAGAAGATACTAGTACGATACTCGTGTACTACACGGTTACTTAAATATATTAATATTTGTACAATAAAAAAATAAAATAATTTATATTTTTATTGTAAAATTATGTATGATGAGTATACAACAATAATAAATAGCTAACAAGTGATAACTAATTCAAATGGTGTCCCGTATTTTTATGCTAAATTTGTGATATTTTTTAATTATATTTTAAAATTGTATATGTTTAAATCAAATATTATTTATAATTTCATATATTCGAATTCATTAAAAAAAACAAGCTTTATTGCATTGTGATTATATATTATATTCATAGAGACAACCCATTTCTCGTTTATTAAATTTCAAGTATTTTAAATTTATATAATTTAGTAATTTAGAATATTAATTTACTCATAAATGTATTATTTCTAACTTTATGTAATATAAAAATATTTTATTATATTTAATTATGATATTCTTTATATTTATTATTTTAAACAACGTCATAATTCAGTTCCTTATATAATATATTTAAAGCGAGAAATAATATTTCTTAAAATTTATTTTATTTTATTATATGAAAAAAAACACATTAAAGTGATTATTTTATGGTGTATTGATGAGTTCAATTTGCATTATTTTTATAAAATAATTTATATTTTTATTTGATATTTTTTGAAATTGATTTGAAAATAAAATTAGTTTTATTTATAAAGAAATTGAAATTATTTTTATTTTATATATGCAATATGGATGTCAAATCGAAGATCGTTAAAATATGATTATTTTGATGTGAAATATAATAAAAATAAAATACAAATAAAAAGTTATAAAGTTTTAAAAATAAAAAGTATACATGTTTATAAAATTAATATATGAATTAAATAAGAAAATGTAAGAATAGTAGATGGTAACTTAAGAAAAAAAAGAAAACTAAAATAGTTTATGGTAATTCTCAAGCCTAATAATAATCAAAACCAAACCAGTACATTTGTCAATGCGAAACACCTATCTTGCTTCGGCTCTCGGGAGTCAGGTTTGAGCATTTATGCCAAATAAGCTTAAGAAGCATAAGAGTCTACCACTTAGGCTCAGCGCATCCTGAAATTATATATAAGGGCGATAAGATATATTTAATAATAGTTAGGCGCTCTGGGAATGATAAGTATGCATTAATTATTGTTTAGGTCTGTGTTGATTATTCTCTCTCTCGGCACCTAGACATAAGTTTACCTGTTTTCTCATCAAATGTGATCTATCACATTCTCATGAAATTTTCTATTGACTGCAGAATATATATTTCTCATGAGGACATCAAATTTTGGGAAGAAAATCAAGTTAGTCCTGTGCTTACCATTGACAGCATGCGTGATTTGGTCTATATTTTTGTCAATGGAGAATTTACAGGTAGTTGTCAATTTGTATGTATTTATGTGAGCATAAGGATGTGGTGGTCTCAGTCGAATTTGCTTTTATTGCTTATGATGCTTTAGGCATATGTTAAAGTTATGAGCCAACTTTGGATAAATTAGCGAATTTCTTACCATGTGGGATGTTGTGTTACAATTTCAGTCTGATTCTTGACAAGTGGATTAACATTTGTAGCATGTGGCCTACACCACAAGATAAACGGAAGACCTTACAACTATTATGTTCAGTGATAATCTCTTTGTTCAGTGATGATCAACGTGCCAGAACCGTGACTTTTGCTCCTTTCTCTTTTGCTCAAATCTCTTCCTTTTGTTTTGAGCCCCTTTTTGTGTTTCTCTTACCATTGGTTCTCTTGGGTTTCATCTCTAGCCTACCCCAACTTGCTTGAGACTAAAAGGCTATGTTGTTGTTGTTGTTGTTGTTGATAATCTCTTTGGTATCATCATGTCATCCTTATAATTACTTGCAGTTTGATAAATTTAGTCGGGCACTCTTCTTATAAATAGTATCTGGCAAGAACTGATTGATAATCTCTATTGGAAGTGTACCTTTTCATATTATTCTAAATCTAATATTGGAGTATAAAGCTTGAAATTCTTTCTTCAACTCTTATGGTAAACCACCTGTTATGCCTTTTCATCTTTTCCGTGCTTGTATTTTAACTGAATACGGTTACATTACTTCCTTCCATGATTTTGTGCTATTTCTTGAAATGAAGGTAGTGCTAAAGGTAAATGGATAGAGGTAGTTCAGCCTGTTGATCTTATTCAAGGATATAATGAGATCACGCTGTTATCTCAAACAGTGGGGTTGCAGGTAATCTACCTTGGCCATCTGAATATTGTTGTAGTTGATTGTCATAATGTTTATTGGTACACTTCTTCAGATGAAAACTGTTAAAGAATAAACGGACACATCTCCTATCTCCTAATATTAAAATGATGATATAACTCATTAATGCAGATTACAACCATTTATTTGTTGTCTGGCCAAGATATTTATTTTTCACTGATTGACATCAAAACCACCGTACTTGTGTAGTACTCTGTTCTACCACATTATTTCATAATGATAACTTCCTAAGCAGTTTTTTCCTAGATGCACTACTGCTAATAATGTGTGTGTGTGTTGTGTATGGTCAGGAGTTTTGATGATAGAAAAATAAGAGGCAATTGTTAAGGAAACAAAATATTAGTTTTCTCGGGATGCTGCCTGGAAGAGTTTATGTAGCACTGAAGTTCTCCTTTAGGAAAACTTGCAGCCGCCAAAGCTGTTTTACAAAATGCTACCTAACTGATAACCTATGGTCTAATTAAATAGAGACATAACCTTAAACAGAAGACTGTAATGGGTATTGTAATGTTACGGGCCTTTATCCCAATAATGTCTTAAGAAAACTTGTGGGACGAGAGGATTACTATTTATAATAGGCATAACTAAATTATTTCTGTTGTCCTCCGTGTTCATACTTGGTATATACTTTCCATATGGAAGGCCTATCTGAATAATGTACCAAAGACTCTTGGTGTCCATCAAGTTTACTCTTCTCTCCATGCGGGAGATACATTGTTATGCTAACCCTATTTTATGGCATCAATTTCTTGAATTCAATTTCTTAATATATTCTTATAACTTCCCTTTTTAACCCTTTGACTAATTTCATGCCCAATTTGGCAGAGCAAGTACTTTGTCTCTCACTATAAATAATCCTATAAATATGTACGGAAAACATTTTGAATGGAACCACAATAGGTTTTCTTTCTTGGTGAATCGATTTGCATTTGTAGGAAAAATTTATTTAACTTTCTATTTATTATTCTTATAATAAATTAAACAATTTTAAGTCTTGTCTCATCCATTTCCGTGATGTTTTTCATGTTCTCAATGAGTTTTCATCCGTTTTCCGGTAATTTTCTGCATTTCCCCACCAGAAGTTGCGATATATGAATCTCGTGTACTATATGTTATATTTTACTGAAACAAATACTTGAGGTTGCAAAAGTCAAAAATGCGCATTGTACAGGCTGAAAATTTTCATTTCCCCTCAACTTCTCTTGCTTCAGAACTATGGTGCGTTCCTCGAGAAGGATGGGGCAGGTTTCAGGGGTCAAATAAAGATTAAAGGCTGTAAAAATGGTGATCTTGATATCACAGATTACAACTGGACATACCAGGTAGCCCATTTTACTCTCTCTTGGCTGCATGTTAATACGAAAAAAGTCTTATGATCTCACTGCACTATTTTGTAGTGCTCTTTGTGAAGTATGGTTGTTATATTGCACTAGTGACACTAAACTAGTTAATGCTACTAAATGTGAATAACTTGTTAAATCATTCATCTTGGGGTCCAATGGTAGGCTGGAGCTTGATCTGGTCCTAAATATTGGTATAATAAGATCATCATGTTGTGTTCTTGGTGAGCAACCCTGAAGTAGTGAAACTGATCATAAGTATATTTGATGCTTTATTGGACCATTCTCATGGGCTTGAGCGCATTTATGTACAGTTAATTGTTATATAAAAATTTGAAACTGGAATTAATATTTGTAGAATATAATTATATTAACTGAAATACGGACACTGGAATTAACTATTAATAAAGTCAAGTTATATTAACTGTGAAATGAAAAGTTGAAACTGGAATTAACTATTAACAGAATTTAATTGTATTTAAGTGAAAAACCGAACTTTTAGCATGTAACAGTTTGATATTCTGGTTACCTTGGACTATTCGTTAACTTGGTCCTTAGCTTTTGAACAGAACTATTTTTGTGGTTGTTGATGGAATAAAAGTAAACTTATGGAAAGTAGTGTTTTACTAGTCCTCTATATTTCATTTTCTTTTACCTTTATTTCACTTTTTCCTTCATAGAGAATATTTCCTTTTGAATTTTACATATCAAGTAAGTTGATTGCTTTGTGAAACTCCATGAATGGTATAGGTGCAACAGATTCAATCCTTACTGTTGTTTCTAATATTTTCAAACGCAATGCACATGCTTTCTGTTTAGGTTATTCTGTGGCTTAGTTTGATATCGGATTTGCTCTTTACTGGTGTTTCTAATATTTTCAAACGCAATGCACATTCTTTCCTATTAGGTTATTCTGTGGCTTTGTTTGATTCTATTTTTCTTTATCACGTGAAAAAGAGAAGACCATTGTAAATGAGTTTCAAGTCAACTGTAAGCATGTATCATGACAATTTATCACACCAAATCTTTCTTTTTCTTTCCTTTTTTTTTTGCCTTTTGAAATTTTAGATTTTCACATCCCTGCCGTACACATAAATCCCACGTACTTTTTTTCAAAAAAGTTCATGGGGTGGAAGTTGCTTGGTCCTACAACTATGCTCAGGCCCGTTAACACATGAAAGTAAGAATGACACAACTTTTTGGTAGGACACAAATAATTCTGGTGGAATTCCTTCATAAGAGATCATCAACATAAAGATCCAATGATGCAAAAGTAAAAAGAAACACAATTATACGGATATTGGCTTCTCTTAAAGAAACTTAAAAACAACCACTGAACTAATGTTCTGCACGTAGAGGCCTTTTCAAATTACAACCCATGTAAGCTAGCTACAATAAACTAAACAACTGTTTGATTGCAGGTAGGGCTCAAGGGAGAGTTCCTCAAGATATATGACATTAGTGCAAGTGCTGAATGGACCAAATTGCAACCTGACTCAGTTCCGACCAGATTTTCTTGGTACAAGGTAATGACTCATTATACAGGTCCTGATATCTTAAATGATCCACTGTTTTTCTTTAAGGTGGAGCTGTACTGTAGTTTCAGCAGTTACAACTTAGGTCATTTTCAGTGGGAATGCCCTTTACAGTAAATGCAAAATCAATATTTCCTTTTGTATTGATGGATTTCCTAAATTATATGTTAGTTTCTTCTGAGAATTATTTGTCATTTGTCTTTTATTTTATATTTTATATATATATTTGTTATTCTTATTTCTGTGTATCTTACATATGAAACTTCATTCATATTAAATTTCACGTGAGCCCTTGACTTTGTTGTATGAGAATCAACCCCCGTATACTGAGAATATGTCTTGCCTAGTGGCACCCTTTGCTGATTCCGTTCTTAACCTTGTATTTCGAATTACGCGTAGACAATCAAACATAATTTTTGGAAGGTGTATTTATATGAGACTTTACATTTTAAGACTTTAAAAAAATTTATTTTACTAAAATCCTTCGAAATCTTGAGTTCATGGGTGGGATTCGGTGGTTGGATTGCTTATATGTATTTTGTCAAATCTATATATATATAATTGCTAGCTAATCCCATTTAATAAAACATTTAATAAAAATATTTTCACTTTCCCTCCAAAAGGAGTTACATCTTTTTTAATTAATTACTCATTAATCTCACATTTAAGAAGGTTTTTTATAGTTAAATTTAATTAGTTAATGACTAAATTAAAAAGATTTATTTTAATTAATCCCACATTTATGTTAAGTACAGTATTATCTTAATATCATATCAGTTTTTCAAAAAGATAGTAACTTTTTTCAATAAATTTTATAAAAATTAGTCAAATGTGCTTATATTCATATAAATCAGAAAAAAAATTAAATCTTAGATATATAAAAAGAACATCGTTGAAATAACTTGAATCCGCAAGGGTAATTCTATACTCATTATCAAGTACTTTAAATTTTTTGTTTATATAAAAAATTAATATTATATTTACTCATTTATATTTAGATGGTATTATTTTATTAAGAAGCAAGGACAATCTCTATCAATCAATAAGAGTCGAGACAAACAATATAAAGAAGTGTTTCCTATGCTATGAGATGATCAATAAAGGTCAAAGACAGTCTCTGTCGCACGTCGGCTTACTACTGAAGAGCTCTGCATTCAGTCATGAGCAATTATACGTGGCGCTTTTTAAAGTTACGAGTCAGTGGGGTTTGAAGATTTTGATTTGAGCTGAGGGAGATTTTGACAATAGAAAAACCACGACGTTGTTTTATAAAGAAGTGTTTAAGAATATTTATATTTTTTTTCTTAATTTTTTTCAATGAATTTGTTATGATTTTTACTATTGTTTATAATTTTTATTATTTTTCATGTATCATATAGTTTTCCGTGCAAATGCACGGGAAAAAAACTAGTCTCAATAGTAAGTATTCGAGTGTCTAAACAAATTCCAGTAATAAATAAATTAGATACCTCATAAACGTTAGGGTATTTTTTCAAATAAAAAATAAATGCCTCCTCACTTTTGAAAGTTTTTAGAAGTCCAAGTTAAATACATTCAATTTCTTAAAATATTGAAAATTCTTTGAAAACCTGAATGAAAATCAATATAAATGCTAGATAATATATTATGTTTCGTTTATAATTCAAAATAAAGTTTTGAGAACCAAACCGGATTATCCAATTGTTTGAATCAGAAACCGATCACTGGTTTGGTTTGCTAGAGTGAATTGGTTAACAGCAAACTGGTCAACGACGAGTCAGACTGATCCTTTATTTTTTATATATTTATAAATTTTTTTAATATAAATAAATATACACATTTAAATATATTTGATATGAATAGTTTATGATATTAATTAGTTTAGGCATTTGAATGTTTTAAATTTTCTAAATATTTAATGAATAATTTTTTCGATAATTAAATTTATTTTATTAAAGTACTATATATATTTAAAATTATTAATAAATTAAGTATCAATTAAGCCATTAGTCGGACTAGTGAACTATTGAACATGTAGCTTAGTCGGTTCGATGATTGGTCCGATTCTGAGAACCTTGTTGTGAAAAATAATGTTAATTATTTTAACTAAAAATACTTAAATAGGAAAATAATCAATAATCATTATGAAGTCTTCGTAATTTTATAAATATTATTTCTAGAATTTGAAAAAAAAAATCTATAAGTTAAAATATAACATTGAAATATTATTTTGATTAAAATCTAATTATCTGATTAGAAAGAAGTAAAAAATTAATCATCATATGCAATTATATTTTATTGATACTGCAATGGTAAATACTATATATATAATATATGATCAAATAATAATTTGTGAAAAATATCTGCATGGGACGATATACCAGTGTATCACGACATTAGTTGGGAAATCGATTGCTTTAATTTTTCTTAGATATCATGTGTTACTGTGTTCCATAAATTTTAGATTCTTATAATCATTAAGAATATTAAATCAACACACACGTGTTAGACTAGTATGCCATGTATTGAGCTGGGGAGGAAGATCTTGCAGATCTTTGGTTTAATCTTGTATGCTTGCTCCTTGCACATTTCTTCAGAAATAGTACGTACCATAAATGTTGGCTACTTTCTTCAGAAATAGTCAGGTTGTACTGATCCTCATCTCCTAACCAGATATTGTGTTGTGTAGTTTAAGATAAGAGAAAAATATTTACGGATAGTTTTGTCTAGTAAATTGATGTCTTGACCTCAGTCCTGTATCTTCGTTGATTTGCTGTCTCTATCATGTTATTCAATATCTCATTCCATCTGTGCTTTTAGTTTAACTTATATATCATTGTTTATTATGCAGACATATTTTGACGTCCATTATGGATTAGATCCTGTTGCCCTTGATATGAGTAGCATGGGAAAAGGTCAGGTATGGGTAAATGGAAACCACATTGGAAGATATTGGACTCTGAATGCTCCCAAGGATGGATGTGAAACATGCGATTATCGTGGGGCTTATGGTCCTGAAAAGTGCTTAACAAATTGCGGGCATCCTACTCAATCTTGGTACTCTTCTTCACCACAAACCAGTGGCAACTTTTTTTTTTTTTTTGGTTCATTTTTTTGTTCAGTTTAGATCTGTTTGTTATGTAGCAATAACTCAAGAAGCTTGTAGATGGGTCAAGCTCAGCATTTTCGTTCAGAAATATGATAAATTCTAAAGTGCCAATGATGATTCATATTCAGGTATCATATACCAAGATCATGGTTACAGGCGTCAAACAATCTGCTCGTAGTCTTTGAGGAAACTGAAAAAAATCCATTCGACATATCCATAAAGTCACATTTCACAGAGACTATTTGTGCTCAAATGTCAGAAGATCATAATCCTCCTCTGCATGCCTGGTCGCTACCAAAGTCCAGCAATGGATCAATTATGGTGAATAATGCAATACCTGAAATGCACTTGAATTGTGATTCTGGATACAAGATCTCTCGTGTTGAGTTTGCAAGCTATGGAACTCCCCAGGGCAGCTGTAGGAATTTTTCAAGAGGCAATTGCCATGCAGCCAATTCATTTGCAGTAGTGCATCAGGTATGAAACTGGTTCAATAGGATGTGTTTGTTCCGGAGAAAAACTATGTTATTCTAAATTGATGAATATCATGCAGATATATATGGTGCCTCAAGCACGCACGCTACAAGTTGTAGCGTTGAAGTTCTAATGGAAAATTCCATTAGAAATATATTTCAACGCAATTCCAATGGATATTTCAATGTTAATATTTTCGTTGAAATTTTCCAATGGATTCCAACGGAAATTTGGACAAGAATATTCCAATAGAATGAGTTTTCTTTCTTTACGATCCCAGGTAGATTTTCCAACGATTGAAATATGAGTGGAAATAAAAATTTCAATGGAAATTTCTGCACTGACTCACTACAAAAAATGTTTTCATATTCCAACTGAAAATTAGTTGTTGGAATCACTACAAAAATGTTTTCATACTCCAACAGAAAATAATACGGTAATATATTCTAATGGAAATTCCCACGATATATTGGAATTAGTTTTTCACTGCAATTTTAGACGGAATTTCATAATTCCAACTGTATTTTACTGTTGCAATATACATTTTTCATTGGAATTTTTATTTCTACCCGTATTTTAGCCATTGAAAAATTTACCCATCAAACTCCAACGGAAATTCCACTGAAAAACTCATTCCAACGGAATATTTTTGTTGGAATTTCCGTTGGAATCCATTGAAAAATTCCAGCGGAAATAATAGCATAGGAATATCCATTGAAATTGTTGTTTGAATTCTATTGGAATATATTTCTTTTGGAATTTCATGATTTTCTTGTAGTGAATAATCAAATTCCATCTAAATTTTCAATCGAAAATTCATTCCGACGGAATATTTTTCGTTGGAATTTCTATTAGAATATTTTTCGTTGGAATTTCTATTAGAATCATTTCAACGGAAGCTATATCCAATTTTCGTTGGTATTTTTATTGGAATATATTTACCATAAAATTTTTCGTTGAAATACGACAATTTTTTTTGTAGTGACACCTCGTTTTTTGTTGTTTGATATGTGCATTCTAAATTGAAGTTTGCTACTACCCTTATATTGAAGTAATTATTTCAGTTGATGAAAGATTAAAGCAATTGATCTTGTATATAGGCTTGTGTGGGAAGACAAAGTTGTTCCATCATCATATCAAACAACGCATTTGGAGGAGACCCATGTCGTGGTATCGTGAAGACTTTATCTGTCGAGATGAAATGCTCTCCAATTTCAGCTACTGGCTTGGGCAGTAATGAAATGATTATCTCGACCTCTATCTCTTCTTTTTAGATCAATCTTGGTGCTTCCTTTTGTCAAAAGGCCAGGTGTGGTCTTCAGCTCATCTATGAAGAGAGATTTTTTTTTTTCCCTTTCATTATATTCGTCATTCTATCTATATACTATCTATCTATCTATGTATTATAAAAGGACGAATGTTGGGAAAAAAAAAATGTGTGTTACTTAAAAGCCGTTTATACGTGGTGTGTTAATACCTATATGATTGTATTGAAAATTTGTGTCTAAGATATTTCATGAATAAATGTAAAATATCAGAAATTATATAGAAGAAAAAACTGTTTTTTTTTTATTATTATTATTATTATTTTTTTTATTTGTTTTTTTTTAGCCTAATTGTGTAGTTGGCATGCCCGAAGAAAGTTGACTTTTACATTTTCAGTTTTGCTATGGAGTCATCGGATGGCTCGACTTATGGAGCCATGCATACTTATTCACCAATAGTGCATTGACATGTGTCCTACAATAAATACAATTTGGACAGGTGTCAACACATTAAGTGGTAGATGATTCTATATGAAAACCAACGGATGACTCCATATAATTTTTGTTTACCTACATTTTACTACACTTTTTAAAAAGTTCACAAAATATACAATTATTATAAGTAAGACTATAACTGAATCATTCATAAATGAGTCTAAAACCAAAAACCAATTCAATTTAGAAACCAATGACAAATAAAACTACAAATTATTTATAAATTAAAGTAAAAGTGAGTATATTTACGATAAATAAGACAAATAAAAATAGATTTGTAGATGGATATAGTAATTTTCTTCAGTGTTCTAAGTTGCATATTGTGTAATGTATCGCATTTTTGTTCTTATGTTTTGTGTTGGATAGTTTACTTGGGCATGAAAAATTATATTATATAAAAATATTGTGTACATTTTTATGCAACAAAAAATAATTATTTAATTTAAATGAACTAATTTGATGTTAAATAGTGTGTCCAATAAATTAAATTTAAGCATTATTCCTTATAATTATAACATTTAATATACAATATCTTAATAGGACTATTAAATTGGGTTATTTTAAATGCTAAATCATGTTTTTGAATACTTTTACTTGAAATAATAGTTTGTTTGTATACAAATAAACTCAATTCATAATCAATTCATATTCAAAATCTAACCAAATTTTAACACAACCCCACTATCTTCAATATTATTAATATAATTAAATAATATCAATCAATCATTCTTATACATAACGTTAAATTTAATTTACTATTCATTCATTCACGTAATTTTAACTAATCATCAATTCACATTATCTTTCGTCTATTTTTACATCAAATAAACTTAAAATATTTTATTCTAAACAGTTTTTTTAATATAAACTCACTATCCCACTAACAACTAACCATACCACATTTTTTCTAAATTAACTCTAGTTAACCAAAAAAAAAATCTTTTTGAACAGATATATTTATATACAAGCACACACACTTGCTTGGATACAAGAAATCTCTAGACAAATATCAAACATTTTTAGCTCAACCATTTTTTTAAATTAACTTTAACCCAATATCACTATTATCAATACAACTAAATAATATCATCCAATCATCATTCTTACCCATCATCAACTCTAATTCACTGTTCATCTACTCACATAATTTTAATTAATTATCAGTTAACATCATCTGTTACTTTTACATCAAATCAATTTTAATTATTTTATTTTAAATATAATTTTAATATAAAATCTAAATATCACACACAACTAATTATACTATATTTTATAAAATTAGTTACCCAAAAAATCTCGACAAAACCAAGAAATTTAATATCCAAGCATCTATATTAGAAAAAAAAATTGTGTTGGGAATAACAAGAAAAACTAGTACAATTACACGGGTGCTTGTTAAAAAAATTATTCCTAAAATTTTAAAATTAATGAGAAAATTGTTTTAAAAATTAATTACCTTTTTACATAAAATATATATTATTATATATTTTAGAATGACACTTGTTACTTGTGCGCTTACATATGTTATATTATAATAATTTTTTCTAACTTATATCATATAACTACTTGAAACATAAATAAATTAATTGATAAAGTTTTATGTTCTTTAATTAATATTAAAAAAATAATTTTATTATTGTTATAAAGATAAATATAATTTCTTTTTTTTTTTACAATATGAATGTTAAATCGAAGCTCATCAAAAGATGATTAATTTGATATATTATATATGTAAAACTGATAAAAAATACAAAAGTTATTAACTTTTACAATACATTTACAATTCAATGGTTACAATAAGAAATGATATTACAATTCAATTGATACATGTAACATAACCATAAATAATCAACATATTTATTAACAATCTCAAACCTAATTATATTTAGAAATGAAGTAAATTAAAATATATACAAGCCAAATAATGATATTTAGAAATGAAGTAAATTAAAATATATACAAGCCAAATAATGAAGCATGTACCAATCGAAGTATAAGAGCATCTACAATAGTATTTCCATTTGCTCTACTTTATTGCCACATGACATAAAAAATCTTACGTGGCATGAAAAATGTCTAGAAGGCTTTCTAGATATAGAAGTCTTTCTTAACAACTTCTATTATATATTATATTATTTATTTAATTTATCTCTTTTCTTCAACCAATTACAATTTTACACATCGACCACACTAATAATTGGAGACAACAAATTTTAATTCCCTTTCTCTATGTCATCCCCTTTCTCCACGTCATACAACACAATTTCTATTGGAGATAGCTCTAAACGCTCAACACATCAATACGGGGAGGGGAGGGAGATGACGGTGCAGTAAGGGGAAAATGGCAAAAACCACTCAAGTGAACTGTTGAAAGGGGAGTGAGAAAAGGAAGACGAGATAGAGACTGACGACGGGAAACATGACAGGCGTTGCAAGCATCTGTTCTTCTCAGCTGCTCGATACTAACACTCTCCGAAGGTCCAGTGTGTGAAAGCACAATATATGAAAACCCCGATCAGGTGTTTGTGTTGCTTACGAAGTATTTATTTCTGTTGAATCACAGTCGAGTCGCGGAGCTTAAAAATGTGGAAGACAATTCAGGACTTGGTAATGAGGGTGCAGAAAAATTGCAAAACAACCTCGCAGACGAGCTTGAGGTATAAATCGAAATCTCTCTTTTTTGTTTTGATTTTCGTATTCCATTTGGCTTCTAAAATTGGGGAGATTTCATTTCAGAGTAGAATTAATTGCATTCTCTCGGAGTATTCCTCGCATTTATGGTCGTTCTCTAGTGAAGACTTCGGTAAGATAATAATTATATTTTTTGGAGTCGTAGTTATTATCTCCAGTTTCTCCAAGGAAGTTTTTAGATGTGCTTGCCGAGTTTTTTTTTCCTAATTATCTGTAGATGAAATACTGGAGCAATTGAGGAAAGAGCTGGTCGAAGTGGAGTCTCAGAATGCAGTTGTCAAATGCGAAATTGAAAAGCTTGAAAGGAGCTGTGTGGAAGGTGGGAATCTCATTGTGAAATATGAATCATAAACTTACTGATTATTATATTTATATTCTTAAAATCATCAAACAGGACCAGTTAGTGCATTATCTCTTGTTAATATATATATACATTAGACACAGAATGTGTGTGTGTGTGTGTGTGCTTGTGTTTGTGTGTGTGTGTAAGTATGGATGTGCTAGTTTTGTTGCAACTACATTGGTTTATAATTATATGTAATAGTTTCCACACAAGTGGATGGCATTGATTCCGGTTCTTCATCATTTACACATGCAGATTATGCTGAAATAGAGCATGAGCTGGAGAAATTATGCTGTTCTTTGGAAATTATCGAGTCGCAGGTTTGTTAATTAGATTGGAGCGCTCCAAGAACAAATTGCTGCTGATTGTAGTGTTTTGTTCAATGCCAACTGCATAGGCGTTTTGTTCAATGCCAACTGCCATCTTAGTTTTACATAGGCATGCTAACATTACTTTTGTCCTTGGTCTGATGCAATTTTACATAATTGTGTTAAATTCTTTTTCCTGTTAAGAGCTGTCACTAGAACAGGGATTCTTTTTCAATCATCGCAACTAAGCTCTTAGTTTCAAACTCAGAAGTGGGAAATCAGCATGATAGATGTTCAGCTTCCAGGTGGGATGGTTTGAGCTGTGGCCAAATTATGATAGAAAATTAAAGCTATGCTATATTTATTGATGTTTATGGTCCCTCATCTCACTTCCTGGTCTCTATTTTAACCCATTTTCGGTGGACACATGAAGGAAGAGATGGAATTGGAAGGGACTACTGGAAGTAAAATAAGATACCAGATTAATGCATGGGAGTGCCCAATAGGTTGAAGTAGATCAAGTTTTATGTGGCGTGCTATGATTTTCTTCCTCTTAGAAATGTAATTTCTTGGACTATTGATTGATAGATTAAATAATTCACCATTGAATGACTTGATAGACAAGCTTGATAGAAGAACAACAATTAGAATGTAATAAAAGAAATGTTTGTAGTAGTTTGGTACTCATGATATATTTTGTAAAAACAGCAGTCGTAAGGTAAGAGCAGGAAGGAATTAAGGTGCACGTAAAATTTCGTTTACCTAGTGATTGAAAAGGCGTCTCCATGGTGTGAGGTTTGGAGTGGCGGCCAAGGTGCCCTTGCGAAATGTTTGGCGATGTGACGCGTGCACCACATAAAATAGATGCATCGAGGCATATTTCGATAATTAGTTTACAGGGCCTTTT